TCATTGGTGGATTGGTTCTCACAAAATCTTTATCCACCAATAAATTAATGTGCCAACTCATCGGTGCTTAGGATAAGATGAGCACCGGTGCTCATTAGATCATTTCTGTATATATATATATATTTTACTAGAAAACAACCTTGTCACGCTTACACATCTTGGTAGAAACTTTTCTACCCAACCCATGTGCGTGGTCCCACAATGTGGGGTCCATTGTGGACCCTACGCACGATTGTGCACAAAGCATGTACAAGTAGCATTTTTGAACTAGAAAATCACTTCAAGCCAAAAATGTCAATGCCACCCAATTCACACCAATTCAAATCCAATTAGGGTTTGCACCTTCCCTGCAACGAAGTTACCCACGAAGCATTCAAATCGCGTTTTGATTCTCAATTTTCAGTTCCGTTATCGGAAATTAACAGGTTTAATCTTAGCCCCTGTTCCACCACCATACACAATTATGCTTGCACTCACACACACTATTTTGATTTGCGTATGTACACTGTCACACTTACTTTCATGAAAGAGCAAAAAATTGCATAATTCATATAATTGCCTGAATTGCAAATCGTAGAATATCTATCCTTACATGTTCTTGTTAATTCTTAAATTCAAGATGGTCATTGATTTCATTTAAATTTTTACATTATTCATATAAATGTTTCAGTGTAGTTATGGGTCGAAAGAAACAAGTTCGGCCACATAGATCGGTGGGAATACTAGAAAGACAAGCCTCTGAAGCACAGTCGAATGAAGAAAATGAAATTAAACCTGAAAAAGAGGAAGGTACTGATAGTGATGAACAGTTCTATGTTGAAACTGATTGGTCGAGTTGGGATTCTGAGGAGCACTATGATGTGTCAGAAGTTGTTTTATCCAACTTGAGTGTAAGTAAAGAGTTTTATGGTGACATATTAAACAAGGGGTTTTATGCGGATTCAAGGCACTTATTGAGGTTTAGGTTGAGCAATGTTAATGAGCATCTTGGTCGAATGAAACTAGGGCACTGGCCGATTTTGTCGTCAAGCAGCATATGTCTGCAGTTTGTGGAAAAGTACATGACAGAGGGCCTGGAGAGGGACTCCTTGATAGTGTCAGGATCTTTTGATGGGCCAGATGAGGGGGTTACAGGTCTTGTTCATTTGGCTAGCTTGAAGCTCTTGACAATCAGACCGATTCTGGAGGTAACTTTCTCAGAGAGTATGTCATCTATACGTTTGAGGGTCGAGATAATGAAAAGTATGTTTGATGAGTGTGAGTCACTTCTTGATAATACGAGGCAGCTTTGGAAAAAGAGTATGATGAGTGTTATGGCTTGGTTGCGGCCGGAAGTTATGACTTCAGAAGCTAGATATGGATATACTTCTACAGCACATATGGATGTTGATGTATTTATGGAGCCTGAAAATGATTCCTCTGCATCAAGGAAACGTCCAAGGTTTGACATTTCCAGTTTTTATGAAGCCATAAAGCCATCAAAGTGAGTGCTAATGGAATGTTAAGTTTATTGTCTGATGGTTTTGATTATTGAGATTAGTTATCTGATATTTGACTTACCCAATTGGTTTTATAATAGGGAGGCATTGATGCTGGAGGATGACCTACCTGACTTGCTTCCTCATCTTCGACCTTACCAGCGTCGTGCAGCTTACTGGATGGTGCAGCGAGAGAAAGGTGCCCATGAGTGTATAGTTGGAAGTGAAAAAAATCAGACTGTTTCTCCTCTCTGTGTGCCTCTAAATTTGATAAATACATCTGGAAGATTTTATTACAACCCATTTAGGTATGTTTCTCTTCCTCAAATTTAATTACATATAACATTAAAGAGTTTGATAGTTTGCCTATGATATATTTTATCAGGCTGAGGCTATTATGCATTGTAATAAAAACGCTTGCCTTATAATCTGGTTCTGTCTTAGAAGTTGCTTGGGGGGCTATAACTGAATCATATTTCTTAAGTTTATTGTAGTACACACGTGCCACAAACCCTTCCGAAAATTATATGGAATGATGATGGAAATTGGAAAGTGACAAGAACCAAAAGTGGTAGATTTAGGTGGTTATCTAGGTAATAGTTGGGCTGCAGAGACTTAGAGCTGTCTTTCACTTTGAGATGGTGGAGAACTGAATTGGTAATTCTAGACAGCAGACTTAAAATCTGTAGCTAACTCTAGTGGGGCAAAAGCACTGGAAGAAATGTTAGAGATTGTAGCGGGGGAGTTGAATAGGAATTTGGAGGTGATTTGAAGGGGTTAGGTCTGATAAAGAGATGTGGAGAAATAAAGAAATAATGTTGGAAGTTTAGAGGAGGATTTGGAGATGAAATGGGATAATTTTTTCTGATTGCAGGAATGCAGATTTAAATTAGATGAAGAGGGGGCAGAGGAGAAATAGAAATAACAAGTCGATAACTGACAACTCCAGTATTAGAATTAGTCTCCCTGGTTTCATGGGGGATCAAGGATTCCTCTTGTAAACAGTAAAAGTAGTTTGTTCAATTCCAGTCTTCAATTCACCTTACCTAGTGCAGATGATTTAGTAGCGATATATAAGTGGTATAACTAAAAGCCAAGTATAATCCTACAGACAAAGCAACTTGGAGCGAAGTTTCAACAATTGTTTTCAACTAGACTCCTTTGGACTAAAAATAGAAACTTAGCAAGAAACGTGACATAAAAATAACACACACAAGACCTATGTGTTACGATTGAACTAGAATCCAGCAAATGTGAAACTACCCTAATCCCCCTTACTTAGACTAAGCAAAGAACAATTGACAACCATCACATTACCTTTGGAGTTTGGTGTTATGATTGTAACTAGAATCCAGCAAATGTGATACTACCCTAATCTCCCTTACTTAGACTAAGCAAAGAACAATTGACAACCATCGCATTATGTAACGAACCCGGCATTTGTGTCCAAGTCGTTAACTTACGTACTGTTCGTTATGGGAGAGCTTAAGTTCATCCTACCCTTCACGGATTTCTACTGCGTCCCCAAAATTCAAACCCTTGACATTTCCCTTAAAAATGACTTAAGTTGAATCCTGGTATTAATTGGGGTAAGTTAACGGATTGGGCATAGTTAAAATGCGCTTTTTTTTTTTGTAACGATCTTCCCACTATGTCCAAATTGTTATATCATACGTACCGTCCGCTTTAAGTGGGCATTTGCCCACATTTTTTTTGTAACGACCCGGCCATTATGTCTAAGTCGTTATATCATACGTACCGTCCACTTTTAGTGGACATTTGTCCACTTACCCTCTCTCGACTTTTTATCGCGTTCCCTAAGATTCAAACTCAAGACCTCTGCCTAATGAGGGGCTTAAGTTGAATCCTGGTACTAATTGAGTCTCTTGGGTTCGAATCTTGGGGAACGCGATAGAAAGTCGTGAGGGGGTAGGTGGGTAGATGCCCACCCAAAGCGGATAGTTTGTATGATATAAAGGATTGGACATAAAGGTCGGGTCGTTACACATTACCTTTGGAGTTTGGACTAACCAGTCTTCTTACCTGATGTGAGACCCATGAACTTGCTTCTAGGTTTCTTAATTGGTCGTGTCTTCTCTGATCTACTAATAACCATTGCATCAACTCTCCTTCTCCACCTCAAGAAAATTCTCTGTCAAGTTGGGAGCTGGACCAACTCTCCTTTTTGTATATGTCTAGTTATATGTCACTGAATCATGAATTTATTTCTCTCATCGCTGTGAAAGTAGGAGAGTTAAGTTCCGCGTGATTATTCTGGTGCAAAGTAGTGCTTGCATTCTTAGTGTTTTATAAAATTATGAGAGTCCAGAGTTTAAGTCTCTACTTCAATGCACCTTAGTTTTACATTTGAAACTTTACTATATTCATTTGCATGGTTTGAAACAGTGTGCTTTTGAGTGGCATACTTGCAGTTATTTAATGGTATTCTGTTATGTTTCAGTGGAAATGTTTCCTTGCATCCAATCCGCTCGCCTTATGTTTCTGGTGGTATTCTTGCTGGTAAGTCAACTTGCACTGCCGCAGATACAAGCTTCGGCATTTTTATTTTCGGTTTCAATACTTATTTCTTCTCTTATCAAATTGATGTTATTTGCACTGAGAAATTTCAGTATTATGCATACTAATTTTCTGCTAACTTCAATGACTTCCAAATATAAGTAAATTGTGGCAAAAGCTAGTAACTGAATTACCAATCTAAAATCCACTGCTGAATAGTTGTCTGTTTTACTCGTTTACTGTAATCTGGTGTATTTGTTTAAAAACTATGATAGCTGATTCAGCTATGGTTTCAACTGTTGGCATTGCCAATGACAAAACACAGATGAGATGGGCTTGGGGAAAACTGTTGAGCTGCTGGCTTGTATTTTTGCTCATCGGATGTCATCATCTGTAGTTGCCGATTGTTCGTATAAGCTGCAAGTTGAAGGGGGGCAAAATAATCACTTCAAAAGACTAAAAAGAGAGCGAGTGGAGTGTGTATGTGGTGCTGTCACTGAGAGCTACAGGTACAAAGGATTGTGGGTGCAGTGTGATATCTGTGATGCTTGGCAACATGCAGATTGTGTTGGGTATTCATTGAAAAGAAAAAAATCAAATTCTAGGAACGTCGCCGAAGAAAGATATGAAGAGTGCACAAAAGGAAACTCACGGAAACATGCTAAGAGAAAGAAAAATATCAATATAGTTGAGATGGATGGAGAGTACATCTGCCGGATATGCTCGAAATTGATTCAAGCCACTGAATCTCCAGTTGCCGCAGGTGCAACTCTTATTGTGTGTCCAACTTCTATATTGCCCCAGTGGCATGCTGAAATTATTCGGTATTTTTTTCATTCTTTTATTTAACCTTTTTGATTTTAATATATGTGTAGGCTGCACATCTTTCATATCATACATCCGCGCGCACACAAAAAAATCTAATGTGATTGAAAAATAAAATTGTGTAGAGTTTTCATGGTCTATAGATGTACTATACTCGTTCAGAAACCAGGAGAGAAACTGGTGTGGAAGTGGAATTGAAATTCTTGAACAAGATTTTTTTTTTTTATAGATAATCAAATAATTTTATTAATCAAAGAATAATACATATGAAGTGTATTATCAACTTAAATAAGAAAGAAAAGATATGAAGTTAGGCAGCCCCTCTATAAGATTACTAGTTGCGGTATTAAATCAACGATACAAAGTCATGAAAGAATTCTCTAATTTACTCCGTGGTCCGTGTTTGGTCTTAAAAACATCGATTGTTCTTCTCTCCACACACACCATATAATGCATCTCGGGATAAGATTCCAAACAATCTTGCTATTCCAAACAACACGTCCTCTATACATCTTGGCAACACCCAATCTATATGTTGAGAAGCTAGAATATTGTTCCACAGCCAACGAACACAATCACAATGAATGAACAAGTGGTCATACGTCTCCCCATCACTCCTACACATATAACACCACTTGATTACATAAGAGCATTTTCTTCGGAGGTTATCCATCGTTTATGCCTGTCTCCTGACAACCGTCCACAGTAAAAATGCCACCCATGGAGGCAATTTACATCGCTACACCATCTTCCAAGGGAATGAATTCTCCACAGGTCCCAAAAGAGATTTGAAGTAAGAATGAATTGAAAAAACACCATTCCGTGCCAATCTCCATCGGCTACGATCATCCTCTCTTATCTGAATTTTCACCTCATACAAATATGTTAAAAACAGTGCATAATCATCCAATTTCCAATCCTGGAAACCCCTCTGAAAGGTAATATTTCAACTGTAACTCCCATTGTGGATGGCTAAAACGCCTTCACCATAGCAGAGGATACCATAGTAATACGATACAAGGAAGAAAACCTCACATTTAGCGGTATATCTCCACACCAACAGTCATCCCAAAATCTGATATTATTACAATTCCCCACCACAATAGTCAATCTGTCTCGAAGGTCACTCCAACCTCGTCGAATATACATCCTCAAACTCACCCTGTAAGATTCTTGAACAAGAATAAAGTTGAAAAACTTGAAAATATGTAGGGAATAATTTGATTATAATGAATTGTTTAATTGAAAAGTGTTTAAAGCATTTATTTATGTAGGAAAAATAATTTCTTGATCCTAAAGGTACTAGGAAATTAAAAAAATGTTACAAAAAGGAATGAAAACTAAAATCCTAAAAGGAAACAAAATTCTAATATGAAGGAAACAAAAATCTACTATAATATATATAACTTTATTATAACAATAACTATCTTTTATCCTATTTATAATGGGATTGTTGTACATCATTCTTCCTCACTTGTAGAAAACTCGTTCACAAGTTTGGTTGTCGAAGAGAAAAATAATTAATCAGGAGGAAAATAGTTGAGAATCTTTGGTACATCTAATATTGAAAAAATATTCATCTCTTTGTTATTCTTTGAAATTGTATTATTTGATGTTAACTTTGCTCCTACTCTAATTGGTAAGCTATAAATTTTACTGGGAGGTTATCGAAAATTTCCAAATAATCAAAAAAATTCTTCGACGTTATTAACCTAATCGAGCAAATCTTTGATATATAAACGACCTTTAAAGGTTGGTGAATCCATCCTCAATTTAACTTTTGTCTGCTTTGACTATGACGTTAAGTTTGGGGGGTAAATTGACCATGCCCAAGAGTATGGGAACAAAATGATCGAGTTCATATGCTTAGGGGCCAAGTTGTAATTATTTTCATCCTAAAAAAAAAATCAAACCGAATGTCTTTTTCACGCTAGTGGTGCCTAACCTTTCCATATGCACGAGTGTTTGGTCCAATGGATCCTTGTCGTTGAAAATTTGGGGCGATTCCTTCTGGTTGCTTGAAATTGCATGCACCTCTTCGAAAATCTTGGGTGACCATGTTTCTCTAGCAGATGAGGGTGGAGACTTGAAAACCTTGTTACTTATCGACATACATCTATTGGGATTTCGAACATTAGGGCTGCGTAGTTGAATCCTAGGTGGTGCATTGCTCATTTAGAGGTAGTCCCGTAGAGGGTCCGTTTCTTCATTATCGGCGATGGGTTGTCATTGAACCTGTTTGGGTGGATTAATGATGGGTTGTTGCTTACCTTATTAATTTGGGTTGTTTATGAGTCAAACCCTAGGGTCAAAGCCCCTCTAATTTTGTTAAGGTTCTGAGCAACAAGTTTAAGGTCATCTTTTGACCGTTGCTCTTCACTCGATGGTACATTTAAAGTTTTTGACTCACCATGATCGGAATAGTCACGAGCTATAGTAGGTGACCATCCATGTTTGAATTCAATGACGAGCACTACTAAACTCTTTTGAACATCTTGAAAAGTTTTTTCGATGTTGATAAGTTGATGCTTGTTTTTTTTGAACCTTTGTTTCTCCTTGGTGGCCCGAACTCCACAAGCACCGTCCTTAGTCATAAGCCTATGTAAAAATCCTAGCTTTGATACCAATTTGGTGCGGAAGTGGAATTGAAATTCTTGAAACAAGAATAAAGTTGAAAAACTTGAAAATATGTAGAGAATAATTTTATTATAATGAATTGGTTAATTGAAAAGTATACAATGCCTTCATTTATATAGTCAAAATAATTCTCTAATCCAAACGGTATAAGGAAATTAAACAATGTTACAAAAATGTCATAAAAGGAAACAAAATGCTAATCTAAAGGAAATAAAAACCCTACGTAATAATCACTTACTTCTATCCTATTTATAATAGGATTAGACACGTAAAAGGTGGAAGTGTAGGTTTTCGAATTTGAAGACAATATTTAAATAATATGCATATGGTCTTATTTAACACCCTAAGTTTTTAGATCAAGTAATTCAATATGGTATCAAAACTTGCAAGCTTTCATTCTCCAGCGAGCAGCCCTGTGCTACATGTCTGGCCAAGTTATCTTGTTGATTTAGATATCATCATCCAACCAATATTAATTTTTTTAGTTCTTTTTTTATCTTGTGGTTATCCCTTGACTTTCTGGTTGAGCCTCTTCTGTGGATCTGTTGAATATTCTTAAATGTCAGTTTGGATCGACCTACTCCTTTTCTTGGATCTAATTTCATTGGGCTGCTATTAGATATCTTTTAGCTCAATTTTCCTTGTGTAACCGACTTCCATAATGCCCTGTCCTATATTAGTATAGAAGCAGTCCTTTTATTTATTTATTTTGTTGTTGTTACTTGCCAAACTTTCTGAAGGGTATCCTATCTTCTCTTCCATCACATTTACTTCCACCGCATATCACATATATTGTTTTAGCCTGTTTGTGTGCCTAAGTGCTTGTTATGGCCAGTCTTTTATTTGTTCATATTCGGGTGGATTACTGGTGCAACTAATGGATCTTTGGAGTGCTAATTGTTAACATGATCTATCCTCAACAAGCTTAGTTGTAAAAACAAGCTTAGTTGTGGAAAACAAGATCTAATGGTTGCTCCCTTCTTTGCTTTATATATAGTTAACTGCACCTGTGAACCCTGACTCTCCCAGTGTTTGTCTGAGTCCAATCTTCAGATTGTATCCTTAATATGATAACATCCTGGCATTGTCCTTTACTTTAGTGGAGTTATCCAGGGATGCAATTGGCCCCTGTATCCAAGTTCCATAACCTAAATCTAGTCCTGACCAACTCTATTTTAACTATGTTTAAGTCATTAATATTGAGTCAGTCCACTAAAGGCCAAATACTGCACTTTTTTTATTTGATAAGTAATCGCGTAATTTTATAGATTAAAATCAAAAGATAATACACAAGGAGTGCATTATCAGTTTAAACAAGGTAGAAACGATAAAAAATTTGGCAACCCTTCTATCGGACTAATGGTTACAACCTTAAACCAACTATACAAAGTCAAGTAAAACAATTCCCTAAATTGCTCCGTCGTCCGTATTTGGTCTTCAAAGCATTTGCCGTTTCGTTCTTTCCACACACACCAAACGATACATCCTGGAATGAGATTCCAACAAGCTTGCTATTTTTATCCCGAAACTTTCTCTTTCATGCCCACACTACCTCCTTGATACGTCTTGGCAACACTCAACTCATATGTTGCGAAGTCAGAATATCATTCTACATCCAACGAATATCGTCACAGTGAATAAACAAATGATCGATCGTCTCTCCATCCCTCTTACACATATAGCATCACTCTGTAATACAATGTCCCCTTCTTCGAAGATTATTCGCCGTTAACACTTGTCCCCTCACCACCGTCCACAGTAAAAAAGTCACTCTTGGAGGTAATTTACTTTGCCAGACCCTTTGCCAGGGGAATGAGCTCTCAACAGGTTTCAATAATGATTTGAAATAAGTACGAACAGAAAACAAACTATTTTGTGACGCCCTCCACCTGCTATAGTTATCCTCTCCTACCTGAATGTGCACATCATACAGAGAGGCCAAAAACAATGCATAGCCATCCAGTTCCCAATCGTGTAAGCCTCTCCCGAAAGCAATGTTCTAGCTAGGATTCTCATTAAATATAACCATAGCATCACTCAAATACTGCACTTTCAAGTTACTAAATTTTTGATAGGACTTTCAAGTTACTATATTAAAGAAGCTTGCCAACCCAGTTAACAATTAGGAGAGTTTGGCCTTAAGATCAACAAGTCCAACAATTATTCCCCATTTCATAATTAGAATTGAGTGTAAAATTGATCGTTTTACTTCTTTAATTGTATCTCTTTTGGTCACATTTTTATCTACTAGAATAATCTATTTGTGTTCCAATCACAAATATAATAAATTTAGTTAGTACTAAGTACTCCGATTTATCCGAGTATCAAAACATGTCTAAGGGGATATTTGTCGCTTGTTAAATGTATGGATTTGGTATTACAGTACATAGCCTAACTTGAAAAGTACGAAGGTATTTATCGCCTTACAATCTCACTTTTAATGCGTCAAAGAGTCCAGGTTATGAACCAGGTTTTATTATCCACTCTGGATTAGGATGTAATGACTTTGTACCGGTGTGATGGTCCTGAAATTGAACTTTATGTAGTGCTGTCCAATCTACTTAGAAATCACCACTTCTATGACGAAGACTAGACTTTTAGTCTATTCCGAAGTAGATGACACTATGACCTTTCAATATAAAGCGACCAACTTTATTGTCTATCATGGATAAATGTTCTGGTTATAGATTAAAAATTGAATCCTCAATATTTACTCAACAATAAAAAATAAACTGTTATTGAAGCAGTAGAATGCTTAATCAATCACATTTGTTTATTTAATCAAAAGAATAATATTAATATCTACATACAAAGAATAGATAAGCTTCTAGGGCACTTTTTCTAACTATATTTTTAGTGTGAAAGAGCTACTAACTGATTTTGCTTCTTCGGTGTGCCATTTGTTTAAAAGTTTCTTTTATTTGTTAGATCTTTATTTATTTTGTTCTTTTGTGTCCCATTTACAGTCATACAAATCCTGGTTCATTGAAAACCTGTGTTTATGAAGGAGTTAAGTATACTTCCTTTTCTGATGAATGTATAACTGATATCAACGAACTTCTAAATGCTGACATCGTCTTGACGACCTATGATGTACTTAAAGAGGATTTGCCACATGATTCTGAAAGGCATGAAGGGGATCAACGCTCCTTGAGATATGAGAAAAGGTATTCTATCTCAAACATATTGGATGATAGATTGTTTCTTATATGGAGATTTATTGAAGAACTACTTGTAAGAACCGATTCTAGTTTAGTAGATTCAACAAGTGGATTCTGTTGCATGTTGACTATACGTCACTATCCAAAATTGAGAGTTGGATTAAGTATATTCTATAGTTACTGTGTAGTCTACTAGAAATTTAAGCGGAACATGTATATCTTATCTTTATCTTGCTTACTTCCTTGCTTATGTAATTCGTAGTGACAAAATTTTATTCCTTTTCTTCTCTTCCGACTAATATAGCTTGCCAAAGTCAAGGTGCTTCCGTTGAATATTGTTCTTACCATTGTCATTCTATTCATGCTTATGGTACTCTAGTTGACATAATCAGCCCTAACCCTGAGGGGTTGCTCAAATGGTCAGGCTTTGAGTTTGCTCCCCAATGGTCACCAGTTCGAATCCTCTCAGGGCCACTGAGGTGAGTATTTGGCCGTAAACTTCAGGGCCCCGTGGAATTAGTCGAGGTGCACGCAAGCTGGTCCGGACATCCATGGTTATAAAAAAAAAATACATAATCAAACCTAAAATATATTAATTTAATAGATGGATGCATTCTTGGCTGTCCTGATGCTTGATCGAAAAAATAATTTTATTTAAACTGTTCATTTGTGGAAGAGCTATAAGTTTTTATTGTTTGCACTCACCGATAATGTACTGTTATTGTGGAAGTGGCAAGAACTTCTTTTTGATGTGGAGGTTGTATGCTAGAAAGTGTTACGTGAAGGTGTATAGAAGCTCTTCATAATTTTACAATAGCAATTTGGCGATCACTATATTGATGCTCTTTGAAAGCTCTTCAAAATTTTAATGTGATCTCTCACGCAGGGCTTCATTGTGTACTCATTAATTTAATGCAACACATATAGACCCAATTAATTAGTCCTAAGTAACACCCTTATTATTGTAAGTTTGTACTAACATACTTAATGGGTGCATCTGAGTTTATGACTGGTGTGGATTAAGGCAGAGTCCATCTCTTGTAATCATCCTTTACAGTAGAAATGTTGTTCAAAATCATCTTGAATTTCCTATTGAAGACCGTAGAAATCCTAAAGATTGTATTTAATTTATTCTTGTACCATGTTTAGAGTCCCCCATAATTAGTTAGACTATAATTATGGTGATTTCCACCTCTCCTAAATTTGGAGATTTCTTTCCTTTCTCCCTTATCCCACTTGTATTATAAATTGAGAGGTTGTATACGGTTGATGTATATACAAGAAATACAGAAAATTATTCTTGTCTTCATTGTATCAGAGTCTTGAAATTAATTAAGTCCCTGTCAATAGTAAAAGCTCAATGACTTTTGAATCTTCTTAGAGCAAGGTAGAGATCAATTCTACGATAGGTTCGGCAAAGGAGAGAATGCTTCCTTTCAACCCACAGTAGAGAAGTTGAATGGAAGAAACTTGGGCTCAATCAATTAAATTGGTAATCGATGTAGGTTACCTGACCATAGAAACTAGGAAGCCAACTGATATGGGAGCATACAAATTGATAAAGAACAATAAGAAGAAAAGAGATCAAAGGGAAGAATTGAGGGCAACAGGAATAATTTTATTCATATAATTTAGGTGTGTCTGTAAACATTTTCCCTAAGTCCATTTATAGAGTGTTTGAACGAGGGTTTAGTACAAGAATTAGAGAGAAGACATTAAGCTTCTTCCTCCCCTCTAGTTTCATTATATAGAAGAATTAGAGTACGCGTTTGGTAACTTGGCATAAGAATGGAAACACAATAAACTCTAATTATACTCTTGCCTAATTGACGTGATTTACTTCTTTAACACTTCCTCTCAAGCTGGAGCATATACATCATATAAGCCCAGCTTGGAGCAAAGAAACTTCAACCTATTACCATTCAATGGTTTTGTAAACATATCAGCAAGTTGGCCTCCTGTCTTCACGAATGGTGTACA